ATGCAACTTTATTCATTAAATTCTCAAAAACAAGACAGTAAAAAATTTTGAAAAAAAAATTGTTTTTGAATCCAAAGATTCTCAAAAACGTATTTTATTATATTTCAGAATAATCTTAATACTTTTAGATAGCTTGACACCCCTTAAATGTATAAAAAAGGGTAAAAACCCTTTAAAATGCGTTCTGCTTTTGGACCAGTTTTTATAAAAAAGGGTTTAAAAATTATAATCCACAGTATATTTAATAATTTTTTATAATATTAACTATTTTTTGAAGTGGTGTTTTTGAAAAAATTTAATTAACAAATTTTTTTCTTAAGGGTATGTGGGAACCTCCCACGTTACCTAGTATGGGAAAATGTGTTTTGGTAGTATACATTTCACTCTAAAATGAGAAAAGATTTTTGTCTAAAATTTTGAGGGATTATAGATTAGGGTACAAGGAATCTCGCTGTTCTCCGAAAAATACATAATTTTGAGTTAAATTATTTAAAAAGTTTAATTTTTAAACGAAAATAAAAAGAAACATGACGACGCATACACAGACGTTGCTTGAGTGTGTCAGTGCTCCAGTAAACAGCGCCAATTCGAGCGAGTGGCCGCTGAATGAACTACGATTAAATACATTATTTTACTATTTATTGCTTTATTTTTATTATTTTCGCGTTAAGTTATAGTAAATGAGAAGAATAGCGAGATTTCTTGTACCAAACTAAACCATTTTTCCAAAATTTTAACCCGAAATCATTTTTTATTTCAGAGAAAGTTTCAAACCACAAAAGAACGTCCTTTGCCCACATACCCTTAACAAATTATTAAATTTATTATGGAATACAGTTTTTAAACCCTTTTCAAGAATTGTTCCAAAAGCAAAACGCGTTTTAAGGGGTTTTTACCATATTTAATGGGCTTTTATATTCCCCGATTTTCTAAGAAATACGGGTATTTTTTCACTTTGGGAAAAATTAATTAGTTTAGAACAATACATTTTTGATTATATGTTTCACCCTATTGGTGTTATTAAAGGTTTTTTTGCAAATCCATGAGAAACAATTCTTTTATTTTGCTATACTTTGTTTGCCAAATGTTAAACATATGTCCTCAGAGCAAAATAAACTAAAATAATAATTAACAAATACTTAAATTATTTAACTATTCTTCTTTTCTAATTCATTCTTCCTGTTCGCGAAGATGCATTAGGCTCTGTCAGTTCATCGATATATTTCGAGATAAAGATATGACGTCAGAGGCCTGGAGGGACAACAAAGCAGACGACATGTAATAATCTTATGGAGAAATAAATTTGAAATCACTTATATTAAATTTACTCAGATCTTAATCACTTGAAATGTTTGTTGGCTTGAAGTAACAATAAAATGTGCTTTATTATCAAATGTGTTATGCATGTGAGCCAGTTACATGTGTATATTCTAAGATTTGTCAATAAATTTGTATTAATAAGGTTAGGAGTGTTTGTTTAAAAGCAAATTTTTTATTTTAAATGCATAATAAAACGATATTTTGTACATATTATATTTAAAATATGTGAAGAACATATTTTAAATGGAAATCAACGCAAATCGTATAAAATAACAAGTATGTAAACAAATGTTCCTAACCTCACTAAAATGTATTTAATCGAAAATCCTGCAAATATTAAGATGCAACTGCATCAAATGTATAACACATTTAATTAGTAGACTATATTAGACTATTTTTTTAAGCCAATAAGCATTTTAAGTGACTAAGATTTGAGTAAATTCAATAAAAGTGACATCAAATTTATTTCTCCATATAAGATTACAATGTGTGGTCTGCTTTCTTGTGCCTCGAAACGCTCTGACGTCACAAGTGACAGAGCCTAATAATATAGAAATTATAGAAAAGGACACTTATATAGTATATGCCCTTTTCTAACAACTCATGGTACATGTTCACGAACTTCTTTCAGGAACGAGATGTACGAGTTAGAAAAGAACAGGGATATATTTGTGTCCTTTTCTATCTCATGCATCTCGTTCGCGAATGATTTTCAAGAATCTATATTCTGTGTTGGCCTTTACTTTGTAGAACAGTGCGGAGACCGGCACTGGGCACGACATAACCAAACAATTTGTTTATGATGTGTCATGTGTACAGTTTATCGTTTGTAAATCGTCTAATTTTGTAAATTTTTGTTTGTGTTTTATTGTTTTTTAATTTTATTATGTGCGTCTAACTTCGAAAATTGTGTAGTGAACAACTTTCGGTGCTTCGTCTGCGTTAATTATAACGCTGGCTCTATACCTACGCTAACGTAAACTGATTTCCAAAACTATAGTTACGCGAAGTGTAAATACACTTCATCATTACACTAGCGTAGTAAAAAACATGTGAATGCAAAATAGTAAACACGGCCTTCGGCCGCGTAAGGTACTGCTCGCTTTTCTTTTCAAAAAAACCTTGGCGAGAGGGGGTGGATATGGCCGAAAGTATTTTGCGAAATTCGTTGGTGGGTGTCACTTTTCGAAACTTTTTTCATTTCGCGTAGGTTTAGTTTTGGGAGATCGGTTTACGTTAATTTTTCATTTCGCTGTCACTTCGCGTAGGTTTAGTTTTGAAATATCAGCTTACGTTAGCGTATAAATAGGCACTTCGTAATTATAACTGAAGATCATCAAAAAGACATCCTGAAGATGTCTTTTTGTATATTCTTCTTGTCATTAATACGTCGATACGCTCAAAAAAAGTCAAATTCACATCTTCAAACAGACATAGAATATCATATTTAAATAAACTTCCTGCAATGTATGTTTTTTAATATAAGTTTAACTTACTTGAAAAGAGAAGAAATAATTTGGATAAAAGTGTATCGTGTTAAAAAAAGTAAATTGGATCACAAAAAAATTTACGAAGATATAAAAGTTATTTTATGAGATTAAATGCTCTATTAAATGGAAAAATACTGTTGCGATTTTTCTCGTAAAACTTGAATATCGCCAATAATCTTTTACTCGGATGTGGCAGCCTCAGCCAATTCAATATTTTACATCCCAGAAAATTTACCTTGCATGAAATGTTATGAGTCGTAAAGTGTATACGCACTTTACATGTCGTTAGGTATCTATAAAAAAAGAGAAACTTTACATATGTTATTTGACAAGCGACAATTTTTGTTTGTCATTAATCAATATGATGATTATCTGTAATTCAAATTGAAATATAATAATCAGAAATACGGGTAAATTAAAGTAGCGTTTTATTTAAAAAATATAGCCCTTTGTGCAAAATGTGATAAATTTATACGAAATTTATATTTACAGTAATAAATATTGTGTTTCAAACACGCAAATGTATAAGTCATTTACATGTGGCACATATGTACGTATAAAATCAGCGAGCATTTTTTTTGTCTGTAAATATTTGTTTTTCAATAAAACATATTAAATCTTCAGTGACCCAAATTAAAAAAAAACAAAGTTGAAAATTATATATTTAAAAACGCATGGATTTTTAAAGTTCTTATAATATTTTAGCAAAGGAAATTCTTTTTAATACAAAAAGTAGTTGAAATGGAATAAAATGCAAAGTATCTATGAAGATGAAATTAAAAGTTTTTCAATAGAAGATGAAATTTTATTTGAAGAGTACGCACTGAGATATTCTAACACTGTGTTACGATTTTCGCAAAGCTTTCTATATTGACCCTTTCCACTGGCAACTCGAAGCATCGCCTCAGAGTCACCCTTCTCTTCTTCCCTCACCGTTGTTTCAACTTTGGATCCGCAACTTTACTCCGAAGCTTCTACATTGAGCGACCGAGAGAGGATACCTACCGGGTAACCCTTTTGTTGTGGAATTAATGAAATTCTAACCCCTTCATAGATATATATCAGCTTGCACTGACCTGATTTATTTACGCGAATAAATTCCCTTACGATATTGCCAGTCATATAATATCGACCTCGAAAAACGGTCAACCGTTATCGCGTTTTAACCACTAACCCTCCAAATGAGTAGCTCTCTCGCATCATAAATATTTCTCTAAACCTTTCTCTTTTATTGAATGGAAAGTCTATAATGAAAACTTATCGAGAGTAATTTTTCTTTCCCGTGATAATAAATCATTCTTTTTGAAAAATCTTTTTCTGACACCACAGTACATTTAAAATTAACTTTTATTGTTTTAGGTTGAAAATGTTTTCTTTAATAAAATCAATTTCAAACAATTTCAGAAGATTTAGTTAGTTATGTCCATCCTCCTTAATCGATGCATAGCTCAAAATTGTTTTATTTATCTTACCAGTGCAAAAAATATTGATCTATGCATCTTGTCCGTTATGGAATCACCTTATGTTTTTCAAAAAAATTATAACGAATAAAGTTGGTACAATGATAGTATTTGATTGATTATTCATTAATTGATTTATTCAGACAAAAGACGCATTCCAATAAAATTGAATGAATTAAATTATCACGATAAATAAATGAAACTATAACAAGATTGAGAAATTACTGAAGGATCACCCTTTATATGAAGAAGGCATGGATTGCGACTAGGTATAGTTGAGTTTGTATTGGATAGTTGAGATGTATTGGTTCCATTCAGGTATAAGTGTGTTCTGGGAGAGCGAGGCGCGCGCCGTTGGCTCTCGCTAAACTCCATCCCCCGGTCTCGATCTCTACCGTCCTTGCCTCGGAAAACTTTCGGATGATGAGCTTTGTTGGCCGTTTCCCCAACAGGACGGAAAAGTTAAATGCGAAAGTTTTACCCGATATCCACTGCGACGCTGTTTTTACTCAAAATTTATCAAACTCTCTTTTCTCTTCTCTCTATAACATATAACAAACTGACAATTTGTTAATTACCCATTATCATGACTTTGTTTTAGTTTGTTAATTTAGTTTCATATCTAAATTTCACGTTAGAAAAAATAAATAAATTAAAGAAAAATCTAAATTTATATTGCGTATAGTAAATGACTCATCATAAAATAGAATTCGTTTTAATTTATTTTCAGGATGGCGTCGAAAAGAACAAGAAAGAACCATTCCATACAGCATCTCCTCGAACTCCCATCAAGCAGAGAAACGAGAGTCCCGCCTTTTCCTTTTTCAAAAGAGTCTGCACAACTTCCGTCAGTTCCAGGTCCACGGCAAGTTCCGGTGACCGTATTGCATCCCACACCAAAAAAGGTAAATTCCTCAAACGAGATTTTTTAAAACATCTATACCAAAAAATATCAATTTACTTAGTCGAGTGTTCTGCACATACAAAATTTCAATTCATTGTGGTTGGATATCATTATAGTAAAAAAAGGGAGTTAGATTTTAACTCCCAATGGCACTCTATAAAACTCCCACTCTTTTGGAGTTGATGCTAAGAGAGTTAATCTAATTTCAACTCACTTTTAGAGTTGATTTTTAACTCCAAAAATTTTAACAGGGTGCCCACCGACCGGAAATACCGGGAATTAACCTGGAATTTTGTATACCGGGAAAAAGCCGGGAATTTTAATTAAATTTACATTAAAACTAATATATTCTATTAAATTTGTTGAAAAGAAATTTAAAAAAATTTCAAATCAAGCCAATTTTCAAGTCAGTCCGTGACGCTTATTCACGTTATGTTAAAGCTTTAAAAGATAAAAACAAAATAAAAACTCAAGAAAATGAACTCTCTAAATCTGAATCAGTGAAATTCCACTGAAGATCAGTGAAAATTGACTGAAAATTAGTGAGTCTATTCTCGCAAATTTAATCAGTGAAATTTCACCGAAAATCAGTTAAAAATTACTGAAATATCAGTCATTTTTCACTGATTGTCCAATTAAAAAATTAGTGGAATTTTTTGTCACGCATATGGAAAATTTCAGTAATTTTTTAATTGGACAATCAGTGAAAAATAACTGATATTTCAATCATTTTTAACTGATCTTCAGTGAAAATTCACTGATTAAAATCACGAGAATAGACTCACTGATTCTCAGTCAAATTTCACTAATTCAGGATGAGATAACTTCAGAAGAAAATTGATCAATCTTCGTTTTGAGATTATATATTTACTCTCTTAATTTGAATAAGTGAAATTTCACTGGTAAAATAGCTAGAAGTCGGTTACTGAATCATTTAGTGAAATTTTCACTGAAAATCAGTCATATATCACTGATTTCCAGTGAAAATTTCACTAAATGAATCAGTCAATCTGTATTATCGGTAATGGGTAAAACAGTTTGACTGATTCATTTAGTAAAATTTTCACTGAAAATCAGTCATATATCACTGATTTCCAGTGAAAATTTTACTAAATGAATCAGTCAATCTGTTTTACCCATTACCGATAATACAGATTGACTGATTCATTTAGTGAAATTTTCACTGGAAATCAGTGATATATGACTGATTTTTAGTGAAAATTTCACAAAATGATTCAGTAACCGACTTCTAGCTATTTCACCAGTGAAATTTCACTGATTCAAATTAAGAGAGTAAAGACTTAATTGTTACAAATTTATATTGTTTGTAAAAAAGACATTATTATTGTAAAAGATATTTTAGAGAACGTTATATAAAGTTGGATAAAACAGTTTTAATATACATTTTTAAAGATTTAGAAGCAGTATGTGAAATACCAAAGATGTAGTAAATGTAACTTTGAATAATATCTAAAATGTAATTGTTGCAAAAGTTTTAATATATTTTTAATCGAATTTATTATTTATTTCTCATCACTCACTTATTTTTACATTTAAATTTAAAAAAATTAAAACAAAAATAAATTTTTTGAAGAATTCATAAATTTCTTCGACAAGTTATGCATGAAATATACTTGTAAATGTTTAAACAACTAAAAACAATACAAATTATTAAAAAAAACCAATGGATTAATTACTTAAAATTACAATTTAAAGGTCCTAAAAAATAACCGGGAAAAAATTCATTTTCACCCGGAAAACCGGGAAATAGCCGGGAATTTTTTTCTTAAGTTACAGTGGCCACCCTGAATTTAATTGAGCCTCCCAATTTTGTAATTGGGAGGCCGCGGCTCGGACGAGTTATAAAATTGGAAGGCTCAATTTTACTCCAAACTTTAGTTGGCATTAACTCCCGAAATTTTTACAGTGCATTGCTAAATGATCACAAAGTGTGGTTTTTTTTAGTTAACATAGAGAAGACTTAAAATATAGGTTTTTATGTTTTTTATTTCTCCAAAGAAGACGTTTTTAGAAAATTTTATTCCGTATGAGTGTGTATAAAAAAAATGACACTGAAGTTACCAACGTTGAATCGACGAAAAGAATTTTTTTTTTCCCTCAGATTGAATATTTTCCCGCCTTGGTTAAGGATTTTTAGTGTTTAAGGATGTATTTGGAACCAAAATAAAGAAGTTTAAATTTAAAAAAATTGGTTCTTGGCCTTTAAACTAAACTGAAAACGAAAAATTGGTTCGTTGATTCGACGAATCAACGTGGGTAACTTCAGCGTCATTAAAAAAAAGAGGAAAAAATTTTAACCTCGCTAATATGTATTGACATAGTCGAACATTTCTATTATAGTAAATAATATTTTTCTGAAAAAGATATTCTTTTAGTATTTAGCTGATAGGGTATATGAGTAATAATCTGAATGTATATTATGAATATTTATTAGTAAATCGATGCAAGAGAGTTTTTTTTATTTCTTCCGTTAGCGCAAGAATATAGCCGCAAGAAACGATATTATTCGATCAAGGGAAGCACTTTCCGCTAAAGCAAAAGTTCCTGCCCTTTCTTTTCATTCTTTTTCCTTTTGATACTGTCTATAAATCTCCCCTTCGAAATCCGATTTAAATGTGACCAAATTCTCACGTGATTCGAGATCTCTAGTGGTTTGATTCACAGCTTCCGATGCAAGTCACTTGTTTCTTTTTTGTATTGAATAACAATTTGGATTTATTGAACTTTCCCGTTAATTTTATTTTTTATACGTCAGTACATATTACAATCATGTTAAAAATATTATATACCGGTTAGACTTTAAAGTAGAGCTTTTTGAAATACGAGCATATAAGCTTCATGAAAACGCACAATAAAAAACCCTTTTCATAAAATATAAATTATTATCCAACTCGTCGATTATAGATGTATGAAGTATATATATATAGACTCTAAATTTGAATCAGTAAAATGCTACTGACAATCAATATCAAATATGATGGATTTTTAGTGGATGTGCTTTCTTCAATTTACCAGTGAAATTATAACCATTGCCAATGACTTGTAAATTTAGTAATCTGTTTCATCAGAGTAAAGCAGATATATCTATTACTCATTCTTAGTTTAATTCTACCGACAATCAGTCAAATTTTAGTGATTTTTAATGAAAATCTTTACTGAATCATTACAAGCGCATTGAAATCTTGAAACAGTATATTTATTTTCTAGTTAATGGTCCAACTAATTAATTGATTTTAATTATTATTATTAAATTAATAAAGGAATACTAAATGGAAAAAAATGTTGTTATACTAAATATTATGTTTTAAATTAAAAAATAAATTTTGAGCGTTACTGAAAATGGAAAAAAAATCGTACTATTATAAACTCAACAACATATGAAAATTCAAATGGTTTTTTTAACGAACTTTAAAATATTTATTTTCCGGTTTCAGATGAAATCAACAAAAGTATTTTTCTACTAAAATAAATTTTTTCCCTTTTTTGTCAAGTTGAAATATTTTCAATTTTGTTAAAAGACCTTTTAAATTTTATGAGTAATGAGTAAAATTCTAGTTTATTATATTTATATAAATTAAAATTTCAATTTCCATTTTATTGTTTTAATAATTTCTAATAAATTGTACAATATAAACGGATTGTTACATAAGAAGTGACTTAATGAAATTTTGTTTTTCAGAGAAATTGTTTTATAAGAAAGTTATTTAAAAAAGATCCTTTTATAGTTGTACTTTGCATAATTAAAAAGTTTGGAGTTCGCTATATTTAAAAACGAATATTAACGGATTATTGAACGCCTTTTGTTCTTCGTAGGAACTTTTTATGTTTGGAAATCGATAGAGTAATTATTTCACAAAGTGTACACTTGTACATGAAACTTTTAAAATTAATATCATATATCCGCAACCATCGGTATATCGATTCTCTGTTGGATTTTAAATATTTGCCAAAAGTTAATTACCGACAAACTGACGCAAGAAGAATGCCTGTTAATCTCCAGATTTATTGAACGATTTCACTTTTACTATTATTGTTTCGTTACACATGACTATTTTGAAAATTGACAATTTTTTTTTTAAATTTCAATTTAAAGTTCGGTTAAACTAATTGGTATATATAACTAAAAATGAAGTAAAGACTATTAAAATATTATAAAACTATTTATTATATATTTATAGTGTATTTTTAGTTTTTTATTATAGTATTTTGTTATAAAACGTAAAGTAAAAAAACCGTGTACAGAAATTGCTTTATTAGACTCTGATCAGGGCCTTGAAAGTTTTCCGTTTTTGAATAAACTCTAAATAAACGAATTGTGTTAAATCGCCTCGTCAGGCGCTAAACAGTTTCATTCCCGTGCGATAGACTATATAGAAGTAGGGGAAACTCGATTTTACCCCAACTGGACCAAATTTCAATTTCTGACCGGAAAGTCATTAAGAGTTTCACGTTGTGTATTATTGACAGTTTTTAATGTAATTTTTACATTCGTCTAGTTTTTAAACCTTTGTGTCTTTATTTATTACCATTTAATTCTCATCAAACTTTGTAATAAATTAGCATATAATGAAATTTAAAAAGTCTTTTGTAATTGACTGCACATGACAGAATATTGATTTTAAACAGTATTGATGTATTTGTTAAATGATAAGTACTCAATTTGGTGTGGAGTAATTTGTTTGTGTGAGTTTATTAGACGTAGTGGTAAATACATAAAGTTAGTTACACATTACTTAGCAATTGTATATATTGATTTAGTTAGACAAGAGACTTTCAGAAAGTTTCGATTGCAATAAGAGTATACAGGATATAGTAACTGTACATTGAGGTTATGTGGATTCACTAGCGCCTGTAAAATTACTAAAAGTTGTAAATTTAATAAATTTAACTAATAATTGTGATTCGAAGTACCCGATGTAACAAGACGACATAGGAAACGACATTAATTTAATTATAACAGATTATTAAAATAGTTGTTTA